AAAATTGTATGGTGGATTCAAAAATAGAAATAAAAATATATGTTAACGTGTAAGTTTTTTTTGTGTAAACGGGCAGTTTCCATGGTTACAGCATATGCCAACTGTCAAAATTACCACGCTTTCGTAAGAAATGTCAGTGGTATACTAAATGCATTGTCATATATACAACAAAAACAAGTTGTATTATAAATTTCTATTTCTTTTGATGTTATATTAAGTAATGATACTAAATATGTTTTTAGAACAGGTTATAAATTAAGGCCATATTATTTCTTCGACCGACTAACATACCCGAACAGTAAGCAAATAATCAGAAATTTACAAAGAAAATAATAAAAATCGGAACATGTCTTCGATATTATTTTGATTTTTAGTCAACGTTTTTCTAATATATCATTTTAAACTTCTTTGCCCACTTGTCTGCCAGTAATCAAGTGGCAGCACTTTCGTCATTATACCACAAGTGGGTAGGGTAACGCGCGCAGAATCATCATCAATGCTGTCGTACTAATGCTAGGAGAAATCCTTTATCTGATGTTGTCTAAACGTTCTCTTATTCTTTTGAATCGATCTCCTCCTGAACATTTAGAAATATCTATTTTGTATTATTTACTCATTATTTGCTTGTGGCCGAAATTTAACAGTTATCCGAGTACTATTAAACTTGACCTTCTTTTTGAAGAGTAATCATCCGTGATTATCTTTCTTGGATGCGCATAACGATGCGCACAAAAAACTACCGAAAACGTCTTTAAGTCATATGGCGCCAAAACAGAAAGATGATTTTGGCAAAAGTTGGGTGTTACAATTTTAAGCAGCACCAGGTGACAGAGCCACCGCACTTGCCGGATAGACTCGAGTTATTCGTCCCTATTTCGCGCCTCTTACGATCACACATGGATAAATGGTGGCCACAGTACCTTTGATATAAGTTATCAAAAGTTGCAAATGGATATCATATAAACACATATTGTACACGGTCACAAAAACAAAAAGTATTTATTTATGAGCGCAAAAGTAATATATTCAGCGAATTGATGTGAAGGGAGAGAAAAAAACCGCTACAATTTCTGTTATCTTCAAGCTGTTTTGATTTTATTGGTATATGGAGCATTTGTTTAGGGATTAAGTTCTAAATGGAAGAACATATTTACATCAAAATTAATGTTATATTTATGGTAAACGCTGGACTGCCTTAAAGTATCGCAATTTACAGTTTTTATTTTTAGTGCATGCAATAACCGACTGATGACTCAAAACGACGTACAACCTGTTCCTTCGCCTCGTTGTAAAATTACAATTTACGTACAATATTGTTGTAAGTCATTTTTCTCAACTTCACTTCATAGTCATATAAAGACAAATGTTTAGAATGAGAAAGGCAGATATTTAGAGGCTAATGGCTAGGAAGAAATGGTCAATGTTGCTGTGGTCAACAAATACTTTTGATACTGGATAGTGCTTGATATTAGGTGAAATTTAGTCCTGTGTGGCGTTGCCGAGTTGTTACAGCGTGGAACCATTAGCTAAAGCATTGCTTGCTGTGTGGGTTCAAACCCACCGTTTCTTTGGGTTAGGGACTTTAATCTTGTTGCTTCGAACTTCCAGAAAGTACAGATTCCATATTTTGTCTTTCTGTCTTAAAGCTACACAATCAAACTTAAGTAAATTGTGTATTACAAACTGATCGTTTGTTTGGTGTTCATATTGCAGCCATAAAACGTGGTTTGACTATTATAGTAATATAATTTTGTATAATACAGTACTGGTTGAAATCTGTCATTTATTGGGTTCTTTTATTGGGTTCAGTTACAAAAAGGAAACACTGTTTAAAGCATGTCTCATTGTTTTGCTTTATGAGTCTGAAAAACATGTTTTGATGACTTTCATGAACACAGTGTGTAATTTTCTCCAGTGATTAGCTAACTCGCTCACTGACAGGTTTAGCATCTTTAGATGGCTGTTCCATTATCATTCATTAGCGAAAGACAGGATAAATTGATATAAACCAGGAGTTTGCATGGATAACATGAACTTCACTTTTTCTCAATTAATACAATTATGTTAGTGCTAAAAAAAGATCAATAATGTGCAATTCCGAAAAATATTACATGTGGTTGTCCCTTATGCTACATTTCATTTATAAACGAAAAAAGATATATAGATATCAAATAAATATTACAAGATACAAGTAGTTGCAATATCTTATGCCTGTTTTAACTTTCCTTTAAGGTATGGTTACTACTTTTTATAAAGCAACTGAAGATGTTGCGTAGTTGCCTTAATGTTGATAATATACGTCAATCAATCAATTATTAGCAATCAATAATAATTGCACTAAAATGTACATGTTACTTGAAAAGTATTGTGTATATGATGATGTACTATGTAGAAAATGAAATAAAAAAGAAAATAAAAAATTCTGTTCCGTTCTATTTTTAGCAAATTAAATGGGAAAATCGTACTTGCCACAGTTTTTGTAAAATTCACTGGTCTGTCTGTTATGTGTATGTTTGTGTACGCGTTTGTGATTATTTAAAACACAATTTAATTGTACCCAAATACCATTTGACAAGTCTTACATCTTCAAATACATATAGATCTATAATTGTCTAATAATATGATACTATTCTGACAATATAATAATATTGTCATGAATTATAAAAAGTGAAGACAAGATAAATAATACTTGTATTCAATAAAATGTCTAGTATAATATACAAGCAATATACAGTAACAACATACAGTAACTTTGTACGTTTGATCAACTTGATATTTATTGTATGCTTATCAGCACATGGATGTGAAAGTATAAATAAATGAATAATGAATATGTTTAGTACAGTTAATCACATTTGTTATTCAATCAATGTTCTTATTACTAAATAATTGAGATATGATATTTTCAGATAATAAGATCAACATATGCTCGAGGATACCAAAATGGTTAATTCAGGTCGTTTCTGACCAAATAATATATAACTATCTCCAACATTGATCCAATAAAATCAATACTCATACATGTATTTTATTATAATAGATAATTTGAAATATATTGTCAGAGCGCCAACAACCGGGCATTTTCTGCGGTGTTTATTTTCTTCTGATTTAATTTTTTTTCCTTGAAACAGCAGAACATTAGCATATAATATTATGAAAATTTATAAATCAATATTACAAATGCAATAATATAATTGTACAGTAGTGAACATTTTTAATATATATAGTTTAAACTAACATAACCATCTAATCGATGTGGTCTTATCTTCTTGCTTTACAGGTATGATTTGTCAGCTACAACTTGTTGTAACACTTGTACGCCAAGATACAAACCAGAGCAATTATGAATAATTTGAGAATTTCATTGAAAAGTCGATTTACAGGTATGTAAATCATTACAGGTATACTATGGCTTACAAGACATAATAACAAATTGTTAAGTTTGACACATGCAACTTATGAATTATTTACTGGCTAATTTACTGCGATTCATGTTTGAAATTAGAAAATCTTAAATATGTACTTTCCTTTTATTTTGATCGTTGAGTCACGAATTAAAGGATAGAGAGTGTCTTAGCAACCTTTTCAACAATGTTTTACTATTTTTTTCTTGTGCATCAAATTTTGAGCTTCTCTGAATTGAGTCAATGGCACTATGTTATGGCATGTTAATTGCCTGGCAATATTTCATGTAAATTCATAATATATTATAACTATTTTGGATGTATTCGTTGCTATATAAAGAACAACAATGGTTCTGAGCTTCAAGTGGACTATATGTTTTGTTTAAAATTGGAGTTATAATTATTTTCTGGTTTAGGTAAAACATGCAAACAAGTTTATCTCTTGTAAGTAGCATTTAATAGCATTTGATAGATAGCTGTGTAAGGGGAATAATCAGTGTTTACAATCTCAATCGATGCTATCCTTATTGTTTTTCATTAATATAAATATACACGCTGCAATTTAATGAAGTACGAGTAATCACATAAACGAGTACAATACAAAAACCCCTAAAAACACGACAACTCGTAGAAACAAGGGTGAGGCAATAATTAAAAACGGGCAATAACAGATAATTAAAATACATTCAACTTTATTCCATGTCGAACATTTACAGCAAATAAAAAGTATATTTTGAATGACTCCAGTGATTTCTAAAGGCCTAAAAATATCAAATTGGAATTTGGTGCATAGATTAGTTTGGGCACTTATAATAGAAAGATATGGATACTCAGATCGTATTTGTGTGCTATACGTTTTGAGATTGAACCAATGTACATGTAATTACAAATGGAAACACAACAGCAACTGATTTCCCTTCCGGAGTTTATAGCTGTGTATATACTGAAAATGTTTTGTACTCTGTATGAGGGTTATTTCTTCAACTTTGCACCTTTATACAGTAACTTATGGTATAAACATGTATATTTGTTATATTAATGTTTATTATTATTACATTATTATTTTTAGGGGAAGTCATAGTTACCGGAGATAAATTGCTTACAATTGATTGATGAAACTTCAATGAGATTTTTTTGTATGACTGGAACTAAATTTTTGGTATATATAATATGTTTCCTGTACGTCTAAGGCAATATCTTGTGCGCATAATTTCAAACCTTTTGGTCGATCCGTGTTTCTAGAAAAAATATTTTAATTGCGGAAAAATTACCTCAAACTAAGTATTTCAGTAATATCATAACCTAAGAAAAGTGCTCAGTACCACTGTGAAGCCTTTTTCAAAAGAGCGTTCCGAGTGCTATTCACAGCGCGCAGTGACGTTCTTTTCGAAAAATAGAAGATTGGGTTACTAATAGGGCTGGATCAATATACCGGTAAATCGGTATTTATCGATTTTCTCTTTTTCAATACGGTACGGTTACCGGGTTTTAGCTATACCGATACAAAGGGAGACAACCTAATAAAAATGCGTAACTAACGATCATGATGACTTTACATTAAAATTATCGTCTGTTTATTAGTGTTTAACAAGTAAAATGTCAGCGAGAAAGTCAAAAGTGTGGGCATTTTTCGCCAAAGTCAACGATAAAAAGGCCCTCTGTAATATTTGCAAGGCCGAAGTGGCAAGTTCTGGCGGCACAACTAATATGTCAACTCATCTGAGGAGGCATCACAAAATTGATCCAGCCATTCAATCTAACGCATTGGAGAAAAAGTTACCTTCAGGTTTGCGGTGTTTTTATTAGACCAAACAGTAACTTGTAATTTAATCCAACACACGAATTGTATATAGTATACACGTATATCTTACAAATTTATTGATTTTCCAATATGAAAGTAGCTAAATAAATGTGACCGAGATATTGACCTTTTGTGACCTAGCTAAACACCGTTTCCCGGGAGGTTACGGATTTAGCTCTCGATCAAATGAAGTCTACAAAATTAAAACGTGATATTTCTATTTTTATTTTACCGTTTAAGAATGAAAAATTTGATGTTTTAAAGAATTGTCACCGTTCTATATACCATATATCTCAAATTTAATAGAATTGATTTTATAATTAAAATCTATAAACTTAGAACAGTCATAGGCACCTGCCATAATAAATAAAGATATTTTGCAGAAACGTGTGTGTACATATGTTTGCATGAAAATTATTTGTATAATGATATCTAATCCTTTTTTAAATAATTGTTTTGTTTCATATTGTCAAAACAAGGCCATCATGTTTATTTCAGAAAAGTTTCACAATTAAAGTAATAAAGGTTCCTTTGCCATGCTATAATAGACTCAAAAGCTGTTTGAACAAGAAGGATATGAATTATTTTAAGAATAAACTTCATCAAAATTGTTTAATTTTTTTTGTGACAGACACATCAAACTTAATGAATTTTTCCATATTTTTTCAGGAAAGGTTTCTGATACAGTTACTGCAAGTGCAAGCAGCAGCTGCTCATCCTCATCAGTATCAGCGATTCCATGGACAATATCTCAACAAGCAAAATTTCCATTTGCAAAGTCAAATGAGATTACAAACTCTGTAGTATATTATCTCATTCAGGACCTGCGCCCTTTCAGTACCATCGAAAGCCAACCATTTAGAAAAATGTTATTTGCCTTGGAGCCCAGGTACCAACCTCCAAATCGGCACACATTGGCAGAGAAGCTGATACCTAATCTGTTGGAGAAAGAGAAATCAGCACTTCAAAGTGAACTTAATCAAGCCCTTGCAGTTGGTTTGACATCGGATGCATGGACATCAAGGTCTGCGGATTCGTACTTAACCATCACTTGTCACTACCTTAAAGATTGGAATTTGCAGTCAAAAGTCCTGCAAACTGAACATTTTCATGGAAGCCACACTGGAGAAAATGTTGGTCTTGAACTCAAAACAGCTCTATTAAAGTGGCATATTATGGATAAGGTTAAAGTTGTCACTGTTGATAATGCATCCAATATGACGGCAGCAATCAGGGTTTCTGGCGTTGATCTTAAGCTGGGATGTTTCGCCCATACATTAAACCTTGCTTCCAACAAAGCCCTTAATGTAACAGCTTTAGGAAAGGTTTTAGGCAAAATAAGGTCTGTGGTTACCTTTTTTCACAAAAGTTGTATTGGAACAGAATTTTTAAAGCAGAAGCAGTCTGGTCTTGGCTTACCAAATCATAAACTGATTATGGATTGTAAGACTCGGTGGAATTCCACATATAATATGCTTCAACGATTTCTTGAACAACGACCTGCTATTCTTGCTACATTGCTGGATGAACGATTAAAAAACGTGAGTGCTAAGGCAAACATTGTTACTAACCTTTCAGACTCTGAAATCAATATTTGTGAAGTTTTTGTAAAGATCATGGAGGTTATGGTTACTGCTACTTTAGCCTTGTCTGAAGAAAAGTCACCAACTGTTGGTCTTATTCTTCCATTATTAGAAAGACTTCGTAAACACTTTACAGTAAATTCTGATGATGAACCATTCACCAAATCCCTGAAGGCAGCAGTTGGCACTGATCTAGCAACAAGATATACTGATCCACAGTTGCTTGTGTTTCTGGAGGAGGCCAGTGCCTTGGATCCAAGAACCAAGAATAAGGCTTGTGTAAATGATGACACATGGAACAGAGTTTTAGAAAAAACTATTTTGTTGACAACAGTTGTGGGTAAACAAGTAACTGTAAAGCAAGAGCCAGGTCTACCTGTAGCTGATAGTAATCTACCTCCTTTGCCAGAATTGCCTTCTGATGCTACTACAACCTGTGAGGAGGGGCCAAAAATCAACTCTATGGATGATAAGACAGAGATACATAAGAAGACTGCCTTAGAGTGTTTATTTGATGATGATGTCCAAGTGATCAAGGAGGAGCCTGCATTATCACTTCAACAAAGAGTATTAAAACAGATAGATACTTACAGAAAGGCTAAGCAACTACCTATGAATGCTAACCCATTAGAATTTTGGAAGGTACACCCTGAATATCCTGATCTTAGCCTTCTTGCTCAGACCTACTTCTGCGTGCAAGCAACATCTGTTGCCTCTGAGCGTGTTTTTAGCACAAGTGGTGACATTGTGTCAGCAACAAGGTCATGCTTGAAACCTGATCTTGTGGACAGTTTAGTTTTTCTTAAGAAAAATATGACCATGCCATAGTATATGGCTTTTGTAATTGCAAACTGAGCAAACTAAAAAACACTAAAAGTCTTTTGCTATAACTGTATTAACCTAAATCTTGTATTTTTTCAAACTTTGAAACATTACCTTGATCACTTAAAAAGTTAATAAAACAAAAGAATTATCTGACTTTTTATTTTTTTATTATTAAATATATATATATTAACATATTATACAGCATCAGTAACAAAGTTAAAATCTTCAGAAATAAGAAAACAACAATATTTGGCCAGATTATTAATGATATATACTACTAATAAATACATCCTATCAATGAAGCATTATTGTACTGTATCGTCAATACGTATCGTGTATCGTTGGTCTGTATCGGAAATGTCTGATCAATACCCAGCCCTAGTTACTAATAATTTACATATAGAGAGCGGACCGGTATGTTTGAGGTATCAAAAGGTTACCTCATTGTTTGTATATTTAATCGACGACACATTTCATTCATAACTTAATCATAACTTAATCATAACTTAATCATTTTTATTTGAAAAGCTGATGGCCACTTTGCCTGTCAAAATTGACACTTAAGAGTTTCCAATAACATTGGATCTATTATATCATGATGTTTGTGATGTTGTTTTGAATATCAAAGTCACACTTAAAATAAGTAAGGGGAAATCATGTTAATAATAATCATTAATTCCTTACCGTTCATTCATTTTTATGTAAATAATCAAAGTTTGAATTATCCCAGGAAATGACTTGTCGTGTTATTGTAAGCATCCAGCAATTTCACTCCAGAAACTTTTTATTGTTTCCAGAGTGACTTTCATTTTATATGTCATTCCATCACAATTATATTCCTAAAATAAAAAATTGAATGTCATCATTTTATAATAAAAACACACAAGAGAAAAAACTTCAAATGATCCGTGTAACAAGTTATTTGACTCTATTTCTACCTTTTGATTTAGAAAAATAAAGAAAGAAAGAAAATAAATAAAGAAATGAAGTAGTACATAAATCAAGTTCGCATATTGATTAAAGTGCGTGAAAAGTTAAATTATCTTGTCTTTTTTTATTTTCTATTGAATTGAATGGTCTATCATATAAAACCCACCATTCTTTTTATTTTCTATCGAATTGAATGGTCTATCATATAAAACCCACCATAAAACCTACTTGATTCATTTTTAAAGTTCTTTGGGTTGTTTTTAAAATAAGATCTAAAATCACTCTTGCAATTATTTATTTTGCATTCAATGACTAACACGTGCATCACAATAAGCAAATCTTTGTTGACTAAACGACAAAAACAGGTTATAACTTTGTAATGGATATCTTTAAATGATTCTTTGCGTCCTTTTTATTTTCTATTGAATTGAATGGTCTATCATATAAACTCCACCAATACAATTATACCGATTTTCCATTTAGTTATTAGGTTCGGAAAATCGAATATGACAGAAGCATGAGTTGAAGGAAATATTTCATCCTTTATCTTTCTCTATTAGGACGATTAATGTAAGAGGAGAAAAAAACATTGCGTTATTTCGTATGAATATAAGAAATACAATGAAGATAAATTAATATAAACATAAGGCATACTTTAACTGTGTAAATGATTTAATTTGTTCGACAGGATTTTTTTTCTAAATTATGCATCCTATTAAACGGTCCTTACTTTATTTATTAAGTGTAAGTAAAATGCTATGGGGAACCAACACATTTAGGTTATCTTGCGCCGAAATTGAAAAGGTGGCTGGGGACTTCAAATTTCAAAGCAACGTCAGGGGTCAAACCACCTAACCTGACGGAGCTTAGAGATGCATAGATTTCGGTACGGTGAACCAAACCTATAAGGTCACTTCTTACAATCACGCAAGTGTAAGCGTTGTATGCAGTTTTGATGCCTCAACCCTTAAAAAGGACACCCCTCAGACATAAGTACGGAAATTGAAATACTTTAAACATAAAATTACACTTTCATGACAATTTTCCTTGTTTAAATAAACATGAAACATCCAACAAAATGCTTATTACTAATTCTTGAAATTTTGCACTCACCTTGGTTGACTTGATCATGAACTATATGCCATTGAAAAACAAACACTTTTTTTGAATAAACAGAACATAATATTATACCAAAAACATTATTGTGATCCATAATAATTCGCGGAGAAATATTAATAATATTAATCTAACATTTGACGTCATTTGTAGCTTAATAGGCATGAACTAGCTCAATAAAACCGAGCTGCAACATTTTCAATTTTGCCGTTTTGGGCTTTCTTTAGGGATTCTTGTTTGCTCCATTTTTATTTGTTTTGTGTAGATATTCACATTTCAAAACAACTTTCAATACCGTTTTTTGATGTTGTTTTTTATGTTATTTCAAAACTTTTCAAAAATGTGTCGAATACTTTGTCGTCGAGTGCTCTTCTAAAGTTTGAAATATTCAAATGGCTGAAATATATATATATATATATATATATATATATATATATATATATATATATATATATATATATATATATATATATATATTATATATATATGATTATTTTAAAAAATCATTTGCATAAAATTTCATTTCCCACAGTAAAAAAAATTATTTTGCAATAAGCACAAAGTTAAATTAATGAACAATTTGTAATATAAGACTTTTGTAATACAGTAATTATTTTGTTGCTGAGATGCAGCAAAATTACGAGGCGGACATGAGTGTCTCTCATCATTGATTTAGAAATCATTTTGGGTTAGTAGCCGATTGAAGGCTGCAATCGGCATAAAAACAATACAAACAAAGAAACGCACGTTCACTGCTCCCATGGCGATAGTACATAAAGTTTGTTTATTTTCTAATAGTTAGTTTGGTTGTACGGCGCACCAACACAATTTTGACATATGGCGCCGAAACAGGAATATCAAAGATAATTTTTGGCTAACCGTGGGGTGTATTATCCTTTTATTTTCTAAAATAAATGTTATATAGTACATATAAATATATGTGTTTTTACTATTTTACAATAGCTATGAATAAAACATTGATATCAAGTTAAAGTAAGGATTTAAGAACAAAATAAACAGGTAACCAATAATTTGCATTACTCCTCCCCCGTACCGTCCTCTCTCCATCAGTCTTTATAAGTAAGATAAGAATCCTCGCTAATCAGAAGGAAATATTGTCCGGTCCCGACCATGTCCGGTATAGTGAATTTATACTTGTATTATAATGGATATTGTCAACCTAAGAAATAATTACCCGGGACGTATAATTTAAGACATTTTTATGGTTAAAATGCATTTTTACAGTAACATTTGAATCTTCTTGTCTTTTGGGTCAGTGATATCTGTAGATGGTTTATCGCAGCTGATGCTAGGATCGTGCGAGATATTGCACTTTTAATTATCCCTCACAAACATCCCTAATCAGATTAATCATGCGATTTTTACTTATCATTTCATTTCGTTCTAAATGTTTCAAAGGGCCTACATCTCTTTCAGAAATATATAGAAGAGCTTATTTACCATTTCCCATACAGAAGGAATAAAGAATGTCTATATCGCGAAACTAGTGAAATCGAAAAATTGAAAAAACTATGTTTGTATAACAATGTATAATCTTTTTTTAAAGCTGTACTGATACATGAAAATATGAAAAGCAAGACCAACAAGGACAGGCGTCGTTCAATAAGCAAAACCCCAACACGGTCTTGCAGCACAGGTCCACCGGCAAGAATATCTTAACAAAAAAACAAAAAAAAACAAAAACAGAAAAGGGCACAAGGCAAAGACACTGTGGGAAAAAAAACTTAGATTTTAACTCTAGATTTAATGTTTTTATGGGCGAACACACGCATGATTTATAAACGATCCTTTATTGTCACAGAACAACTCATGATAAGCCTGATTGTAATTTAAAAAGTAGGACGATCTACAACAAGAAAAAATATCTTTATTTGAATGGATACATTGTCATATTATACCCTGAATGAAAACCAATATTTATTTAATATTGTTTTGACCTTTACTGCGATAAATTTGTTAAATGGAGTGCCGTCTATCCACAAAACTATTCATTGTTTAAGATGAATGTTCAAAATCCCTAAATCATCCCTAAGTCTTCGCTTATATTATCTAATTGTTTGAAACATTATTTGATACTTTCAGTCTGCATCGTACCAAAAGAATGAGACACAGTTGTGTAAATGTACACCGTATTTGATTAATAACAGGTTCAAGTATTCGACAAGGAAGTTCAGTCTTTCAATTAACATCTGTTCAGTGGTTATCAAAGCACAGATAAAAATATATTCCATTATGCAAATAGATATTTGAATGCTTTTTTATTTTTCTTTCACTCAGTTTTAGTCTTTTGTGGTATAACAGCTAATAAAAAGGTATGTTTAATCAATTTTTGGTATATTGTTATATACCATTATTTAATTTATAATTATTATTTTTTACTATTCAATATTTTTTTTTCATTAATGTATATTTTTGATCGATATATTAATACTTGAAAGCCAATATTCAATTCAAAGTTATTGAAACGGAACTAACAGTAAACATTGGTACATTGCGTGTCACGATTTTCATAAATAACTATATCGTGATTTACCTTTATAAGAGAACTTAAACTAGCCCCTAGTGCTGGTTTATAAGAAAACTAAAACGGAAATGGATTAATCTTTAAAATGTTTCGTATGTATTGTTATTAATTTTGTGTTTTTATAATTGTTCTTTTTTATGAGATTATTTTCTTTATTTATATGCTTTCTCTTGTTTTGTTTAAGAAATACAATATTGTATACATTTAAATATCTTTTTGTATATCAAGTGCGTTTTATGTACATTTGCAATTACGTGACATAATGGTTAATTCAACGTTTTATTTAGTTCAAACACAACGTTTGTTTATTTGTAACTTTTCCAAATTTTGCTGATACAAATCACGGATTAGTTTTCAAAGATATTGACAGGATAAATAATATTGCACGGGCGTTTGTAACATTTGTAATGTA